TATCCGTTACAGGTATATCTATGCTCACGAGAAGATACGGTCCGAATAATCATCGCAGGTTTACTTTCGGACACTGAAGACGCGCAAGGAAATCCTATAGAATCTAGTGGAGATAGACTCGTTGAGCTAGCCCATTTACTTAATAATGATTCAGAACACTCGGGACAAAAGATCGACGATGAAGAGCTGGATTGGCATGACATGGAATGGGTGCCTGATCCTGTAGATGCAGGACCAGGATACAAGAGATCCAAAAACGCTGATATCATTGGAACACTAATTGGGGTTTTTGGATCTCAAGATGTTTTTATCAAAGAGTTCCAAAATATCATCAGTGAAAACCTTCTAAAGAATGACGGAGCTTTCGAAAAAGAGGTATGTACTTATTCCATTCGTCTTCTTGGACATGCAATTCTAATAATTTCTCAGATCAAAGTTCTCGAACTGCTAAAATCCCGCTTCGGAGAAGCGCCACTCCAAAGTTGTGAAGTAATGCTGAAAGACATTCTCGATTCTGTTCGCCTCGACCAAGCCATCCACAAAACCCAAAATCTTAGCATCGCAGAAAAGAAAGCCATGCCTCCCCCATCAACTCACCCAACTCTCCATACCAAAATACTCTCCCGTCTCTTCTGGCCTCCCCTCCAAGAATCCACCTTTACCCTCCCTCCTCAAATCACCGACCTCCAATCCGATTACTCCACCGCCTTCTCCTCCCTCAAACCTTCCAGAAAACTCACCTGGCTTCCCGCCCTCGGCCACACAACCGTCGAGCTCGAACTCGCCGACCGCACCGTAGTCGAAGAATGCACAACCTGGCAAGCCTCCGTAATCTCCTGTTTCCACAGCTCCACCACGCATCTCAATCCCGACGAAGAAGAAATCCCTGCCCAAAAAAGTATCGAGGAACTCTCCTCCGCGCTCGACATGGATCCTGCGCTCATCGTCTCCGCTCTCAAATTCTGGGTCGCTAAACTCGTGCTCCAGGAATCTCCGCCCAAATCACAAGTTTACTCTGTGCTCGAAACACTCAATGCGTCGGATCGGGCGCGTTCGGATGCTCTTGCTTCCGCGCCTGTTAGTGCGGATATGGGTGATGAGGAGGGAGATGATGGAAAGGAAGAAAGGGGTATCGCGGGCGAAAATGCAAAGGTCTACTGGCAGTTTGTGCAGAGCATGTTGACGAATAGCTCGAGTCAGATGGGGGCACCGCAGATTGCGATGATGTTGAAGATGCTGATTGCAGAGGGATTTCCATATAGTAATGAAGAGTTGTTGGAGTGGTTGGGGGGAAAGGTAGAGGAGGGTGTGTTGGAGTGTGTGGGGGGCCGGTATCGTTTGAAGAAGTAACCTTAGGGGGTGGAGAGATGGAAATGCGGTATGGTATGCATTAAGAGTGTCGTGTGAGATGGGGGTTATGTCTTGCTGAGTGATATATCGTATATACCCACCGCAATCAATTTTACGTTGAAAAGTTAGTATAACTCTAGCTTTCTGCATCTAGAGAATATAGTGGAATGTTGTATCATTGCCTTGCGTGTAATTGCGAGATCTGTTTGCAATTGATTGTCGTATGATATTATAATCCTATCTGCTCTGGAGGTCAGATTACATATTCAAACCACATATGTTTCTAGTCCCTGCACTCCACATCTTACATCTCTTGGGTATCTATTCATCTATGTCTCTATCTCTATACCCATCCACATCTTTCTCTTTCGCTGCGCCCAATACTTATTTCCAGAATACAATAAGCCTATGCGTAAATAATTCCATCTCCATCTTCCCCACTAGAAGAAACATCCTCTTACATCCACCCCCCCAACGCCTCCAACACCCAATCCGCCTGCACAGCACTAACCTTCTTCGCCCAATTCCTCGTACTAAACACATTTTCCAAGAACATAATGGCCTCGATCTTCCTCCCCCAAAGCACACTCTGCGGATGAATAACCACGGCATTCTTCCCCTTCGTCGTCACATAACTTCCATCCGGAGCCAACGTAGCCGTTCTATCCCCAAACGACCTCAGAAACGCTTTAATCAAGCATTCTGCTCTTTCAGGAGTAGAGGGCTCGAAGGGCTGAGGATCAGGAGGAGGAAGTGCGTCTATGAGACCGTGAGTAACGCTCAATTGACGCAATTGTTTACGATTCAGCATTGCGGATTTCATCGCTCGGGCGCTGATGTTGCGGGATTTGCACCATTGGAATCGGTTTGTGTTTTCGGAGGCGTAGCGTTGCATGGTTGTGAGATATGTGAGGAGATCGCCTTCGCGACGGATAATGTCGGCGCGGTTGGCGTCGACTTCTTCTTCTTGTTCTTGAGATTTGGGTTGGATGAAAACTTCGGAATCGGCGGTTAGGAGGGAGATAACGTCGATGGCGTCGAGAACGCAATCGAACTCTGGAGATGAGGAAGCGATGAGAGCACGGCCATAGGCGGCAGGAAGAGGGAAACTAGCCATCTTTTTACCATCTGTGGTTAAGTTACCTTCGTCATCCAAAGCTCCCATGGCGTTGAGTTGGAAAATGGCATGCTTCATAGCTTCCACATCGGGTGCATCCATGAGAGGAAAATTGATGACATCTCGAACTCCGCGAGCCTTCATCTTAAGAACTGCTTCGAGCACATCGCAACGAAGAATTTCGGGAATTTCGTCTTGAAGCCAAGATTCGTATTCGTCTTTACCATATGCTCTCCAACATTTACCAGGTGCCTCACGACCAGCACGACCCATTCTTTGCAGGGCGGACTGTTTAGAGATCGGCACGACAAGTAAAGATTCCATTCCCAGCTTTGTGCGGTACTTCTTAACCTTAGCTTTACCACTATCAACTACATATCGCACACCGGGAACTGTTACTGAGGTTTCCGCAACGTTAGTAGCCAGGACGATTTTCCTCGTCCTGGGCTCCTTGACTGGATCGAAAGCTAACTGTTGAGCATCTGGTGGAAGGGCACCATACAGCGGTATAACCTTGATTCTCGGTACTTCTTTGCTCAGAGACTCGCTAAGAGCCTCAAGTCTCGTTTGCATATATTCAATCTCTTCTTGACCGACTAGAAAGACTAGTATATCTCCAGGAAGAGGTTCCGTAACATGTATACTTGCAATCCTCTTGAACATAGTCTCCTGGTAATTACCAGGGTCTGCTGGTTTGTCATAGTGTAGGTCAACTTTGAATTTCCTACCTTTGACTTCCTCAATGGCGACACCAGTGTCTACTTTTTCGGAGCTTTCCGTTCCCTTTACTTCCACATCCTCTACCTTTCCAGACTTTGCAGCCAGCATTGGTTTGGCAGTCTCAATGACCTTCTCATTGCTTACAAGATGTGGTGCAAATATTGAGCCATAGTTGTTTCCCGGTTTATAACTAGGATTTGAGTCAGGATTTGCGAAGAAAGCTTCGTATCCCCCTAAATCAAGAGTTGCACTCATGATAACGACTTTCAATCGAATGCCACCACGACCTTGCTGATCTCCGTGAACTATCTGTCGGAGGAATCCAGCAATAAGATCAACATCGACCCCTCTCTCGTGTATTTCATCAATAATGACAGCGCTATATTTTCTGAGATGTGGATCATGGACCATTTCTTGAAGCAAAGTACCTTCGGTAACAAATTTGATCTTCATTCCAATGGGTGTATTGGTATCGAAACGAACGGAATAACCGACCTTTCCAGGAGTATTTGTACGTTGGTATCCAAGGGCAGATCCCATCTCGGCAGCCACACGACGGGCTAAAGTTATAGCAGCAACACGACGAGGTTGAGTAATAGCAATGACTCCGCCGACGGAAATTTCTTCTTCTTGACCCGTCGCATTCTTGACTTTTACCTTCTGTTTCTTGCACCAAGGCTCATCATGCATAAATTGAGGCAGTTGAGTACTTTTTCCGGAACCAGTCTCTGCAGTCAACAGAAGGACATCATTGGTACGCAAAGCAGTTTTAAGATCAACCGATTTTTTATATACCGGAAGCGATTTTCGAAACGGCTCAAGTTCCCTAGCTGTCTTTTGTAGATGCCTGTCCGGGGCCGCATTTTTGACATTCTCGCTGCCGGACCTCGGGTTTTGTCCTCGCTGTCGATCCTTCTCCTCTCCAAAGGATTTGACTTTACTGGCGACATTGCTTGGTTTCTTCACTCCATTGAGAACTCCGGCTTCTTCTTCGTGCTCTTTCCCGCCGGCCCTCAAGTCATCCGCATGCTCTAATTTTGTCAACTTCGCACCGTTTGCATTTGCCGCCTTATCCTGCACGACCGCCAATTTCTTCCTCTTTGAATCTGATTTTGGACTTCCATCTCTTAATCGTTTCGTGCCTGTGGATTTCGCCGGCTGTAATTGTGGTTGCGATTTGGATTTCGATTTTGATTGCGCCTGTTTCTGATTCATGGATTTCGTATCAGAAGACTCCCCCCTTTTCATAATCTTAGAAGTCTCATCAGCGTCGTCGCCAAACTTGAGAAGAACCTTCTCGGGCATAACGGCGATTCTTTGGAATTCTCCAGCTCTGTAAACCTGACGTCTTGAAAAGAAAAATACTTTTTCGTAGAACTAATTCGGATTTTCTATTATCGTAAGGATGGTAGGACAAGAAATTAATATGCTTATTAAAAGAAGAAGATCTAAAATTATGAGGTAAAATATAATAGTGAGGAACTGAGACGCTCTCTTTTATTTCAATGTAGGAAAAGATTATTCTTCAATGTTCAGCGAAAGCAATGGGAGCTTTTTTTCTGCCAAATCCTACCGCTTTGCTTCAGAGTGATGATCGACGAAGCTAATCAACATCAGCCTTGCATTGCATGATGGGACGACATCATCCCGAAAGATAGAGAAAGTTCTGAATAGGGTGTGAAATTATATTCAACTAGACCCATCAAGAAATCCTTCAGAAAAGTAGTTACTCAATCACTCGAACTAATCAATGTTATCATGTGTGAATAAATCAAAGAGTTCTTGATTATTTTCTTATGTCTCTTAGTTCTGATATGCCTATCGAAAATTTTGAAAGTCAAAGCGGCCATTCACAAATTTGCTTGGTTGATACGAAGAGTACAACCACAAATGTTTTATCCAAATGTTTTCTATTTGCTAATTATGTATGTTTATTTAACGCTGGGCTGACCAGAAAGATGATGATCAGTGCCAACATCCACCACCACCGTCATCACCATCGCTACCATCTCAACCAATCCTTTGGGAGACTGGAGAGAGGATTCTTAGAGCCACTAACACACATGTAGTTTCCCCATTCAAAATTGGTATACGAACCTGAAACTCCTATCCACGCCAGTACTACTTGCCTGCCGGTCCAAATAGCCCAAATGACTCTTATGTGTGCATGAGTGTTGAAAAGATGGAAAAGCAAAGTCGACGGAAAGAGTTCAAAGAGAGGCTGAGTTATACTTGCAATTTTGAGATTTGTCCATAGATTTTTGTTTCTGGCCGATGTGTTCTTCAAAAGTCTCCCATGTCTCCATTTGGAGGGGGATACAGCTCAGCATCTCTACCTCCTCTCTGTCTCTGCTGCTCGTGTTCCCGTTGCCGAGTTTGCTGGTGCTGTTGAGGTTGTTGCTCAGCTTGGTGATTCTGCTGATACTGCTGAGCTTGTTGTTGGGTTTGAAATCCAAAACTGCGAGCCAGCTGCTGGTTTTGAAAGGCAACAGAATCTTCTTGTTGGTAGACTGGAGATTGATAGTTGTGATGTTGACCAGGGTTCACGCTTTCAGTTGAATCAAATGCCGGAGTCGCCATAGATCCGAATCCACTCGGTCTGTGTTGGGAATAAGAGGATGCGGGTGGAGGCATAAAAGTATTTGACGCTGCAGAAGATCCCGGGGACAAGTTTGTTGGAAACATATAACCCGTCGAATTTGCCGAGTGTCCCAGCGAGTTAGCTGTGAGCGGTGCGGGCTGCCTGTGTCCATTATTCGTGATCGATGCGCCCATTGTTCCGGGTGAGACTCCTTCTGAATTCGAATTATGCCGTGAATGTGTTTGAAAGGGATTGACTTCATTTTGCAGTTGTGAAGTGGGAGTGTAGAGTCTGTTGGAATTCATTAAACTAGGACGCCTTCCTGGAGGTGCTGGTGCTGTCCCAAATCCTGCCATTCTTCCTCGGGCAACGCGACGTCGGCTTTCCGCAATGTCACTCGCTGACCAGACTGGTGTATGATAGTCCTGTGGATCAATTGCGCTTCCTGCATGTCAGCTATTTTTCAGGGAGTGATAGTTCGGGACATACCCTGAATTTATAAGGCCGGCTTCAGCGGAACGGGCATTTATGTTATGGCGACTTCGCATTTGCTGCCGTACCAGCTGCTCAATCACCTTCCTTGTGGAGTGTGTGGGAACTTTATCCCTGCAGTACGGACAGCTGTCGTTTTCCTTGAACCATGTCTTGAGACAGACATCTCCAAATATATGTTTACACTTGGGCATCCGTAACGGCTGTTCAATCACGCCTTCAGGATTCGCCACGCCGATTTCTTCGTAGCAAATCGAACAATCTGAACATGGTTAGAAGAGTTGTAATAAGATTCTGTTCAAGACTTACTGCGTTCTTCTTGCGTCAGAGCATCAACATTCATTTTCTGGAGTGAAGACAAAAACTTTTTGGATGGCGTTCCTTTGCCATCGACTCCCAGATCAAGAGCACGACTTAAGCTAACGCCACGACTGCGTAAAGCAGAAGCAAAGGCGGTGGTACCTAACAACTGCATTTCAGCAGTTGCGAATCCTTCCATGACATCATCATCTTCGTCACTTTCTCCCCATTCTTCTTCGTCTGTATCCGAATCTCTACCGGGACGACTAGCACGGCCTAACGCTGCTCTTCGTTGAGCATCAGCCAGACGACGTCCCGACCTAGCACTTGATCGATCCCATTCGGAGTTGCCGATAGAATTAGGAAGGTGTGAAGACGCAGGCCCAACTAAAAAACTTCATTAGTGGACGGTTGTCTTTTCTTTCATATTGGCCTATTTAACCATCAAAGCAAAGAAATGTGAACATAAGAAGTGCATGCCAGGAGTTAAGCAAAAAGATATTGAATAGGATTAACATGCTACTCCAATATAGGAGTGAGTGTACTCACAGGCTTCCGAATTAGTACCTGGGCGGGCATATCGATGTCGTAGCTCTCGTTCCCGCTCCCGTCTTCGTTGTTGAACTATTTCAAGATTGTCAGCTTCTCAGTGGTCTCAGAACTGTTCAAGAAGCTTTAATTCCATGCTGACAGATAAAACCATCTCTCAATAGAGAAATGGGGTAGTTAAAGTTGGGGATTACCTTGTTCCTGTGAAGCGCCTGGAACGCTATCATTCCCCAGTCTTTGAGGGGTATTATTGTTGTCCGCTATAGAATTTTCATTGGCGAACATTGGCATAGCTCGAGAATTATGAGGCCAAGGTCCCGTCCAAGAGTTGTACTCGGGAGGGCCTGACATAGGAGGTAATGTAGGGAAGGATCTGCTAAGAGATGGCTCTGAACCTTGATGTTGAAAGTCTGTAAAATCGTGATATGGAATTCCCTGAGCACGCGAATTCTGAGACCAATGGGAGCCATAACTTGGACTGGCATAGTTTGAAGCTGCACTACCATACGGGCTTGCGGGATAATTTGAAGTGCCGTACATGGTAGAGGTCATGTTATAGCCTCCTTGGTAGCCTGCCCAAGGATTCATAAGCGGTGGATACCGGGTACTGGGCGGTTGCATTCCACCCCGCGAAGCATCGTTATTTGGACAGCGAGAGGTACTCGCATTTTGCAGAGGCGGCGCATATGGCATATCAATATCGTCGTCCTCCATAGTATTATCCATTTATCTTATCGACCCCGCACTGACCTGGGATCGAAATTCGAAGGGCAAGCTCCAAATCTATGACGACGCTTTGAAGAAGACAGTTGATTAGGTATCGTATGTGACTCCGAATATTCTTTTTCAGGTGTTGTAAATATCCCTTAAATGTTCATTTAACTTGACATTATCGTGTTATGTTGTAGTTTTGAAGAAGCACAAACAAAACAGTAATCGTGAGGCTGCAAAGAGTGCTGTTGTTGATAATTGGAAAAGGACTTGCACAATGGAGGGTTTAAGAGGTTGATGCCGGTGAAAGGTCGAAAGGTTCCGAGGTGAATTCACTCAGTTAATATTAATTGTAGAATATGGTGGAAATATGAACAACAATATCAAATGAAAGAGAAACTGCAGTGCGAGGAGGCAGCGCTTTTGGGATTGGGATTTGATGCGGAGCTGACTGAGTCTGGTCGTAACTAGTCTGGTCCCAACTAACTCGGGTGTTAGTTGTAATTACCTAGTAGTGACTTTTTGAAGCCGAGAATTGGAGTTAGTACAAATATGTAGCTGGGAGGGGGGGCCTTAGATTATGTATGATATATGTCTTGCCTTGGCCCATTAATCAATGCCATTAAGATAACTTTTCTTTTCAAGGTTCTTAATGCAAGGCAAAGGCAGTTGAAAGGGTAAAGTAAACAATGAGAGTAGGGTTTCCCCAAAATGAACTAGTGATGATTGAGCCTTCCAAAGGAGAATAAAGATGCGGTTATACAGGAGCTACTGTGTGGGAGATGAATGAAAGTCAATGGAACGAATATTTGCAGATGGATCTGGAGATTGGATCTGGAGATTGGAATTTGAAAGGATCACTGGTGGAGGAAGAATAAATACCTGGGTACATGAGCTTGCCACCGATCGTTGTATTTATGAACGAGGCATACTAGGAGAGTATGTACTATGTAGCATGATAGTATGGGTGTAGGTCGGTAGTATGAATGGATTCATTAGACACCTCAAAGTGATTGAAACACCTGGGTAGTTCATTGAATCCTAAGAAGGCCGGTAGGTAGAGACCTGCTAGACAGGTGAATGCATAAGTTAGAAGCTAGATCCTGGATATTCCACAGACCCCTCACACATACCACTTCACGACTCATGGATTTTCAAGTGAATGTCTCACATCTGAATGGAGGCAAATAGGGTACGGTATCCTTGTGGTCTTTCACGGCCATGTTTGTTAAGTAATATTCAAGATCCAAGATTGTGTGATGGATAATTACCATCTAAATATATATGGAGTGAGAGTAGATAAGTCTGGATATCTCCACAAGGTGTTGATCTACACTAGGAGACTAGCACTCTATTCTAGTGAGATACTTAGACACCTAGGTAGCTTTATCGATAACGATAAGTAGACTTCCGAGTCAACTTATAAGGAGCACTTTTCTCACAAGATATAAGATATATAAATGTTTCTTTATCTTGCTTCTTGAAGGTTGATATATATCTATGTCTCTATTTGCATATTTACTTATCACTATATTATATATGTATGTATTATCTACCTCTATAACTATCGACTTGTCCACCTGAACTTCTTCCTGAATGATAATAATACCCAGGTCTTCCCGTATCTATTATCTACTAGGCATCATCCATCTACTTTCTCCGTCCGGCATCTACCCGACCCTTGAAGACGATTTGGGCTAAAATCATTTGTTGATAACATAACAGACCCCACCCCACCACTATCTTGAGCTTTGATATTCAGTTGCTACAACGATAGGTAGGCACACAGATACTAAAATACTAATAATAACAATGAACAATTTGAAAAGATACGGCGAGTTTGGCGGAAGTGAAGCAAAACCATTTGTTTTCAGTCAAGATCTTACCATTCATTGCTCACTAATAAAAGCTAGATCTTTCCAAGAGACTCGGTCAATCCAAACGACAGTATAACAACACCTCGCTCACACGCAGGCAGGTGCGTGGTGATCCGAATAATTGCCCAATCCAAGTCAAATCACTAGCATTGCAAATCAAATGGTCTTAGGAGAATTCCAAGTTTTCGAATTACGAAGGTGATTGATTAACTTCTTGATATCTTCTTATATAATCGCCGTTGTCTAGAGATCTCCTGGGTACCTATGATTGTATCCGAAAGACTTACTAGGTATACCGGTATACATTGAAGCACCACAATACTTATTTCTCCGTCCAAGCAGAGCCTCTTTCCCAAATAGCCTCTCATCTATCCGAAAAACTGGTCATATGCGTTCTGACTATCGAGAAACAGGAAGGTTTATGTTCCTTTTACTCCTTCCGACAAACGCATGCAACATTCTCTCAAAACGGAAAACATGAGAGAGAACAGCGGTGAAGTGGTGGAAAGGGCACTATAGCCGTGCCATTTATGTCTATGAAGGAAGGTCACGATATCACATTTCGTGAGATCTTCAAATCGACCCTGGCATTTTATCCTCATTATACTTTGTCCATTCCACCGCTCAATTTTGGAGTATTGAAGTTGATTTGTCTGCAAAAAGTACTCGGGCGATGGTACAACTTTCCAGGTATGTAAAGTAACATCGAGTTTATAGCCATACCACCACTTTTTACTCTCAACCGCTTTCGCCAAATGATACCCAAAACAAAACAGTAATTAGTAAATTCTCGTTCCTCCCAGGTCCAAGTTAATAAAGGGAAAGGTCTCATATAACTTCCAAGGTTTATTTCATCCACCTTTCCTTTTCCTTTTCAATACTCCGCTCAAGGTGTCTGGGCGACAGCAGCGCGCACTGCGCCATTTTTTGCACTTGTTCGTTCGGTAAGTGTGATCTAAATGATTGCATCTACTTTACAACTGTACGAACAGCAGTCCAAGCTCGCTGTTGCACATTGCAATCCTCTGTCCTGGTGGGGAACATGGATATTGCATACATGACTATCTACATACATCCACAATTATCAACAATATCCTAAGGAACCTGGGCTATCAGAACTCTTGTAAGTTGTAACCTTACTCCTCCACAATCGGGTCGTTGTGAAAATATGCATCCTCCTATACAGATTTGGTAAACCCTCAAATTTCGAACCTGCCGGTCATCAACAAGGGATCACCAGTGTATACAATATTAGCATACACAAGAACTCAGGATCATGTCAGTTCCCCTCATTAATAATAAGTGTTGACTTTGTGTAATATCGCCACCAGTACCGGTATCAGCATGTACATGCGAGGTGCAAAATGCAACATCCCATCTCGTGAATTCCACCGCCGCATAATGCATACAGCACCTATAAGACTTCCCTATATGTCTGCCAATCAAGTTCGTATAACAATCCAAGGTCATGATGTACGAGAAGAGTAAGTGAGGCGAGTATTTTCATTACCATTCAGCTCTTATCAACAATGGCGTACAATCAAATAGCAACTGCAACAAATCCATCGGGCACATTGCATTGCATTATTTCACTTGCACCCATCATATATGATCCATTCTAAGGTTTAACAATACTCAAGATCCCCGATATTTGCAAATGTACAGTGGGTACTCACACTATTGAGAGTGTAGAGCGATTTAGGCCTTTTGCATTTCAAGCAAATTCACCATAATTCCTCCTTCTTGGCTCACATGATTTTGGTCAGAAACAAACAATTGTTCAACAATAAGGATTTTTCCAATACGAATATTACCAACATCATCTTCGCCGACTCCACCGAACCATTGCCAATTTGCAATTTTCGGGAGGATTTCAAATCCTCGTGATCACTACCGATTCATATGGTGCCCCTCCCTTGGGCAATTATCTAGACGTGTTAGAATACGCTATCTCTCCTGGCGACGACCAACGGGATCAATGATTTCAGTCATTCCACACACCCAATCATATAAGTATTTAGCGAAATCCTAGTCGTATGGGATTTTCCAAACAGACAAAGTGCCTTGTGACACTCTATATCCATTACAATTAGACGGTTTACTTGTCCTGGCCTGGTGAATTGGGATGTTCGATAACCGAGTGGATCAAGAACTTCGAATCAATAACTCTCATCCGCAATTCTCATTACTGATATTTTCTCTTTGTTTTATTGGGCATCGTTTGCATTTTATGAGTATGTCGATGATTTTCGATACTTGTGTAGCTACCTAGTATGTGTTTATTATCCCTTCGCTGCCACTCAGATGTGCTCATCTCCTCAAGTGTTGGGGTTGTTACACAGAAATCAAACATATTACACCTTGCTTGGCCAAAATCTACAATATATATCTTGAATCAGTCACTTCCTCTCACATACAACCACTCACTCGGACAATCAGTCCACAATACCAGGAGAGAAGCTTCACCTTGGGATCCGGAGTAGTTAGGCATTAAAACGATCACAATCGGCGAGCCTTCAACTTTCAATCTACAGCACACAAGAGAATATAAGTTTTCACAACCATAACTCGGCTACATACGACCATAGACTGAAGAGAATTGGGCATCCCGTCCGCTCTGCCATACACAAGCTTCAGATCGGTCGATTAGTAGTTGGGTGGGTGACCACCAGCGAATCCCCACTGTTGTATGTCAATCAACTTTTGCTCTTTTGTCAATCACTTCCTCTGAGAGCATTTCTGTTTTGGGGGACTTTCTATGTCTTTCTTGCGTTGTTAAAGATGCGTCTATCTGTTTGTTCATCTCGCTCTCCTTTTATTTTGGTTAATCCAGATCAAGGGAGGCGAGACATACCCGAGTACAAGCAGAGGAATATTGGACATGGAACGAATGTTTAAATCCCCCTTTACCTACCTAGTACCTACCTGCATACTCCAGTCCTCGTATTCTGTTCACCTCTGCTTTGCATAAGGATAGGTATTGATAATGGAATATATCATCATTCATTCTCACACAGCATCGTCAAATCTCATTGAGGTCCCTCTACTCTCTACTCTCTGCTCAAGCAAACCCCTTTTGTATACTCGACCCGGAGAAACCATGATAATAATATTGGTATCTACAAACGCGAAGGAATGTGAATAGGTAGTAGGTAGATATACAAAAAGTGTAACTCCCCACCTATCTATATATCCAATCCATCCCAAAAACCACACACTTCCTTCCATCTCTCTCTCTTGAGTCTTTAGTCTTAAATGTACAATGCCATCTACACTACTCACTATAGGGACAGACGAAGGTATACTACCTAGTCAAGTCCAAACCAGAGAATCCCAGCCCAAGTTGGGGTTTCAAATTCAATTTGTTGTGTAGATTGTTTATATTACTTATATCTACCTATCTATCTATCACTTCTGTTCACATATACATATATACATATGTAGATATACATCTTTAATAAGATGAAGATGAACATAGATAAACCGACACACTCTCTCATGACAGAATCCCAAGACTGATGTAACAGAATCTCGAAATCGCTCTTGAAAGAATAGATATCTAAATACCTACCTACCTACCTACCTAGAAACACTATACATATAAACTCAAACCAACAAGCAAATTCGGCTCTATTCTCTATTCTCTACCGCCTATATTATTCCCTCCTTCCTCTGACTCAAGTCCTTGAACATGTTTTCTTAGGATATATTATTATTACTAGTATAGCAGTATAACGCACATCAATCACATCACACAAATAATACAGTCAATTCTTTCTCATACTCACAGCACAACACAAAAATACATCAAAAAAGCATGCATGCATCACTTGCCAAAAAAAAGGGTTTAATTTGAAAATTCGACGTCTATACATATCAACAACATAACAAACAAACAAACAAAAACAAGGTATTCCACCCCTCAAAGATCTAGCAAGACCCATGTTTACAACCGAAAACTCCTGTATTGTAATATGATACTAAATGATATGATATGCTTGCACCCGGAAATATCACTAGCTAGGTGGGTATACATGGTTGAACATGTGCGGAGTGTTCGTCCATGATGCGCGATGGATTGGGGTATTCAGATGTTGCTTCCCGCTCGAGAGGTATATCATTACGGGTAAGATCGTGTGACGGAAACTACTAGCAATATGACGTATGGACCAAGGTAAGGAAAGATTACGGTAAATTTGGACAATTGCGCTATTAACAAGTCCATGTGGACGAGATGGGATTTTAATGGATGCGGTCCAATCTGGCTCTGTTCATGGCGATTTGATCGTCGACACGGTCGCTCTGAGATATAGTTAGCAATCATGTCAGACTAATAGAAATATATAATAACATACCTTGCCAATAATTCTCTCAATGTGTTTGTTCTGGTCATCAACTTCACGACCGGTAGCCTTTGCTAGTAAGTTCAATCTACCGGCAGCATGACCAAGAGCATCCAAGTTAGAGTCAATTTCATTCTCCATTTCGTCATCCTCAGAGTCGGCTTCGAATTGATATTTAGATCTCTCTGCAAGACTAGCCTTGGTTGCTGTTGCTCGGTATCCTACATCTCCTGGCTGAAGATCTCTGAAATTTGCCTCCATTCTCTGAGAAGATGCGAAAGCTGCATTTCTAGTTTCCTCACGCTGATCACGTTCTGATCTATGCTTGTTGATAATATCATCATCTCGTTGAGCCTTTCTCGACTTTGCTGTGAAAGGGTTGGCAACATGGACAGCGAACATACTCTTGTTCAGAGTCTTCAATTCTTTCGCTTTCTCCTCCGCAATTCGGTTATGATTGGCAGCAAGATCCAAGTTCTTCTCGGTATTGTGGATACGTTCTCCTTGTGCACCCAGACGAGCCAAGGTAGCACGGCCAGTTTCTTCAGCTTGGGCCGCGATTCTCAATGCGTTTCGAGTAGATGAAACATCCTCTTGCTTCATGGCTCTAATTTGAGCCTTTGTCGCTTGAACATCTTCCTCTTCCTCTTCTTCGGCAGTAAGTTGTCTTTCTTCTCCATATGCCCCATATCCACCTCCAGTTGATGGACCAGCATCTGACTGAGCACCATATGGAGGAGGTGGTCGCTCGGAACCAGTAGCTGCCTTTTGCACATATCTATCCTTAGCGCCACCGAATAATTCATTCTTGTTGTCTTCTGTCGTAGCTGTATCGTTACTGTTGGTTCGTCCTAAACCACCATAACCAGAAGGACCATATTTTGATCCCGAATTGGCGGCAGGGCCATCGTATCTGTTTGCGCCATATCCACCACCATTTCCGAATTTCTCAGATCCGTATCCGCCACCATTTGGAGCTGGCGCTCGAGGACTAGGGCCACCCATTCCACCTCGAGGAGCACCTGGCAAACCACCATTAGAGGCACCTGCAGCCCCTGGAGCAGTATATTGTTGTCTGGCTGATTGATATGGAGATTGAGTTGGTTGAGCCGGCATATTCGCAGACTTATTATTGTCTTGTGCGTAAGGGTCGGCTTGAGGTTGTGGAGTGGCATAAGGGTTCGCTGCCGGAGCAGGAGAGGCGTTCTTGTCTTTTCGTGAAAATAGACCCATTGTGAGGATTCAAATGAGATGGCAATTATTTGATTGAGAGGTAGGTGTAACAGGAATATAGATAGAGAACGATGAGAATGGAAAGATGCAGTGTATTGTATTTGGCAAATAGAAAGAAAGGAGTTGAAATATTTGAATTAAACTAGATCTAAGTTTATTCTTAAATGTTTGTGAAGTTGTAACAAAGGGTTGTCTTGAGAATATGGGTCGAAGATGCAAATGAGTTTCAGGGTGTTAATCCGTGAACACTATGCCTGAAGATTGGTGGGGCTTAGCCTATGTGGAACCTCCGAGCCCCATTAGCCACATAATTAAGGTGATAAACCTAGTAAGTACAGTTTGCTAACCCAAGCTAAGATCTATAATAAGTGAAGATGACTGGAATGATGAGAACCAATAATTGGATGACCAAACGGTGTGTGACTGATAGATTATGACTGTTATCTGATAATACCTAGGCACAATTATTCAATATTCAACATTCAGATCCTCTTCCTCTACCCTACATTACCCTACAAAGAGATGTTATATCAAGATGACTTCTGACCTATCCACATAACTGTTCTTTCAGTTGAAGACCCTTTTCCAACCAACTTTCAATTAATCCCTAGTTCTTGGAGCTATCCAGCAAACCAGCCATCGATCTACACAAACATCAAAATGGTTTTACGATTGTTACGCCCTTTTCGAATACATAAACGCCACATAACCATACAGTCTTCCTGGGTGATTGGGAAAATATCAATACGGTGACGGTAGTGTTCGGAGAAGTTACGGACTATTGAGTGAGGATTGGACAACTCGGGGTGGTGGCAATAATTCCTGTAGCATTGCCATTTGGATATTGAGCGGAGTGCTGGACAATCGAGCAGTGGCAACGACTAGAATTGATATCAGAAAATGGCATCAATTTTTACATATGAACCCGAGCCCCCAAGGGTAGAATCGCCATGGTTGTTGACTCCTACGAACTCTCCTAAACCACCCTCACCTCAGCCAAATCCGAAAACTCTCAACAGTTCCCCTGGTTCAACTCATATTTCGGACTATGGAGTTACAAAATTGGAGGCAGAACCACAGGAAGGTCCCACAGAATACAAACTACATCTTTTGCTACGACCGAGGAGGACGTATAGTACTTCAAGCACTGGCTCAGTAATATCTGGTTCTCAACAGCACAAACAGCAACCCCTTAATCAGGAGAAAGCGAGTCCCATATTGGCACCATCCAATCAGAGTAAACAGAAACGATTAGAGCAGCTCACAACTCAATTACTGTGGCGCCTACAGCAGTCGTCTCCATATCATGCATCATCTACAAGTGATCTTGTATTACCGAAGTGAGTGCATTACCCCCTAACGGTGATTGTGTGTTGGGCCGATGTGGCCCATCTTCAGATTAAAATAATCAAATTTGAGACATGCAATGAAATCTACCTAATTGTAAACTCGCGCTGATTTTGATGTCCAACAGATTGCCTGGCAGCGCAACGAGCTTAGATGCCCCTTCAAGACCCGGGAAGCTGTTAGCTGGGCTTGAGGAAAGCCGTGGAGCACTGTATGAAATAGGTGTCTCTGATGATGGTACATTTGTCGGTCTGACAAGCGATGAATTAGATGAGAGTTTGACAAATCTACGGGCTATGGCAGCTAGTCTTGGATGTAATGTTGAGATTGTTCGAAAGGTAGTTGTTGGGGAATGCGAATGGCAAGAGACAGATGAGCCCCCAAAGTCTCAAATTTCGCAGCGACTCAAGAAACAAAAGCCATGGTTAGTCCCTGGAGATCAAGCGATATCAACAAATTTCCGGCACCGAGAGGAATTGTGGGTCGCTGAAGCCCTCATAACTCCAGATCTTAGTTCGAAACGAGCACAGTCAATAAGCTACGACGAAGCTCCTGTCATTCGTCAACATACTCCACAGCCTACAATTGATGAGGTTACCGAGGCGCCCGCTCTTCAACATGAGGATATAACAGAACAGCTGCGTATCACTCTTACTGGTCCCACTACATCTGGAAAATCAAGTCTGCTAGGTACTTTGTCTACCACAACGCTTGATAATGGTAGAGGTAAAAGCAGACTTAGCCTATTAAAACATCGTCATGAAATTGCTACAGGGGTCACAAGTTCTGTGGCACAGGAGTTAATCGGCTATAAAGACTCACAGGTCATAAATTATGCTTCTGGCAATGTAACGTCTTGGACAGATATTCATGCTACAGCAGAAGATGGCCGGCTTCTATTTGTTTCCGACTCTGCTGGTCATCCAAGGTATCGCAGGACAACAGTGCGAGGCTTGGTTGGTTGGGCTCCCCATTGGACTGTTCTATGTGTCGCAGCAGATGACACTGGTTCAAGCGTTGCCGGAAGTACTTCATCAACGGAGCTTCTTGGCACTGTTGGGGCAGGAACTGATCTTGCCAAAGCACACCTTGAGCTTTGTTTGAAACTGGATAAACCTCTGGCTATCGCGATCACCAAGCTTGATCTAGCTTCGAGACCTCGTCTGGGCGAAACACTGTCTAAGCTTCTATCTGCGATCAAAGCGACAGGGAGAACTCCATCGATTCTTCCACCAGATAATTCTAAAAATATTATTGATGCCGATCTAACTAGTATACTGCCTGAGGATACTAATGCTGTTAGAAAAGTCATCAATACGATGGCAATGTCAGATCTCAGGTCCATTGTTCCTATTATTCTTACAAGTGCGGTCAAGGGAACCGGTATTCGTCAGCTTCATGCTCTTCTCCAAGCTTTGCCGATACCTACACCACCCACCCCTCACGATTATATTGGCATGGCACTCAACCCAGAGCAACCCTCATCTCTATTCCACATTGAAGATGTGTTTGGGGTACCAGCTTCCTATGATGCTTTGATCTGTAATAGTAATGGTATTGATGCGGGAACTGTAGTTGCCGGTCACCTTAGGTTTGGCAAGCTATCAATTGGAGATAGTATCGTCGTAGGCCCTTTCCCAGCAGATTCTGACGATGATGATTCCCCTCAGACTGGACCCCGTTCTTCGCCCACCAGTCTAGGTACCTCACTCACGCATCCCTCAGCAACCGAACTTTCTAGGATAGCTTTACGCAACACGCCATCTGCTTCAGTTACGAAAGGCGAATGGCACAATGCACATATAGTCAGCATTCGCAATCTTCGCCTTCCAGTGCACACGATTGAAGCCAGTCAGATCGGAACCATCGGCATTGTTCTTGACTTGCCGACTCAAGAAGATTCAAATAGTCCTATGGAATGTTCTTCTCAAACTGCTCCTCGAATCCGCAAAGGGATGGTGATGGCGATACCCAGTAAACATATGATTCAAACCCATCATTCTCTTCAAGCTGCTAGCGGTTTCACTGCCTCCTTTGATGATGGCGACATTAATTCCGTCACTCCGGGCACAGTAGTAGTAATCTACATAGCCAGTGTCCGCGCTTCAGCTCGGGTCCTCAAACTAACCCCAAATCTTCCTGCCAGAGACATGGGAGCAGAAGACGCAGATGATGTTTTTGGATTGGGACTACTGGACGGCTGTGACGTAATTGATTCCAACGGGAAATCAAAAGATGAGCCATTCGTTTTTGGCACTGATGGCATTACAGATGTTAGTTTTGAATTGTTAACATCTAGAGAATGGATAGAGTTGGGTAGTCAGGTTTTAGTCATGCCCGGGGGTGGTCATGGACTGTATTCTGGAAGCGAGAGGGGAGAGAAGGGAGTTGCTGGGTTGGAAGGGTTTGTAGGGAGAGTTGGGGAGGTTGTTGATTGATGTGCCTCTTGGGTTGATGGGGTTTATTTATTGGCTTGGCTATGTACCGATGAAGGTATGGGGTGTCTGAATGAGACACTGTTGTGTTTTTTTTGTTTTTTTTGTTCAAGAGCACACCTAATGCAATGCATAAGGTGTAATCCTATGGAGTAATTTTCGTCGATGGCAATGAAATGCAAGATGATTCTGCTAAAAGTCAAAGCGTTTGTTTCCTCCAGATACCTACCTAGTATTCATCCATTACTGCACACAAGCCTTCTACCTTTTTTCGCCTTCCCACACACACACACACACACACATTTTCAGTTGTCTATACAGTTTATGTGATGCAAAAGTCGTATGAGAATGAATTGGAAGGATTCAATCATTCCCTACACTCAATAGTCTTCGCCAACGTGGCCGAGCAATAGTGACTAGGCTATTGATTGACCTGATTTATAACAGCTCATGAGTTATACCAATATTCATTATCTGAGATATATTGAGCAGTGTCACTATCGATTTCATATCTTTTGCAGTCACATTATTCAAGTAGTGTCTTCTTTAATGTTTATTTCACCAGTTATATATAATAATCTTCACCCCTACTCATTCAAACAACCACTCCGTACTCAAAAATGAAATCCTTCAATTTCAACACTACTTTGTTTCGAGTCCTCTTTCTATCAATATAAGTTATAGAGGTTATTCGTATTATATATAATATACCGGTAGAAAAGGTGTATCTCTATTACTATTGTGTTTAAGTCAAATAGATATGATCTTCCGCTAGTATTGAAGGTTTTAATATTGATAAGTTGTGTTTTATTTATTGTGAGTTGGTTTAGCAAACTCTATTTCATACTCATTGAGAAATCTGCTTTACAGAATGTTGAAGTTTCCTGAAGGACGACTTGATAGGGGGAGGTAGACTGATTGATTCTGGAGAGCCGGCGGCTTAGGTGGATTGAGGGACTTGGATATATTGGAGGAGATTGATTGAGGGCTTTAAATTATTGGATGGTTTGTTCGAAATAACAAAGGATCAAAGAATTTTCGGATTGTTTATCTTTTTATAGTGCAAACTTCCAATTAGACAGCCATCAACACCTTGCTTTTCATGCCGTTCTATTTCCCAATTTATTCAGCATGAAAACTGAAAGGATCAACCCGCCACCTCCAAATCCCTGGAGCTTTCATGCATCATACTCTTTACTTATCCATCCTGTATGCTCTTCATTTCGCCGGTCCTTTATGATATCTGTACGGACCACGTTTCAATCTCTGTCCTTGCGTAGGGTTGTCTACAATCTCAGGTACCTCCGCTCAATCGGGCTGGTCTCCTCCTATCTCTGACGAGTTCCCTTCATGGCTGTCTGATTCTTCAGGAACCACTTCATCTACTTCAGTTTCCTCTCCGCTTGAAGAAATTATAACTATAAACCCGTCTTCTTCTCCGCTTCCCCCTCCACCTCCACCTCCACCGTTTCCGTCTCCTTCATCAGGAGATGAATCGGATGAGGAAAGCGACGAGTAATATGACGAGTAATATGATGACGAAGATGGAGAGAGATCGATTACCACCGGCGCGGGTGGTGGAAGAAGCGGTGGAAGGAATGGTGGAGGGAACGGTGGAGGGAACGGTGGGGGGAGTCCCCCTATTGGTAGCAGCGGACCTTGCGCTGCCATTTGAAGCTCGCGCACTGGTACGAATTTCACTCCGGGTGGCCGCTTGTATGGAAAGTGAGCAGCATAGCCAGGCGGCTGTGGAACGCTTAGAGGTCCCGGTGTGTATAGCAATAGGTTCAGCGATTTGTGTCTATCATCTTTCCGTTCATTATTCATTGAGATGTACGCCGATGGTGTGTTTGGAGGGCCCCCGTTCCACAGATGTATTGACACCCAAGCTGCATAATTTGGGTGTGTATCGAGGTTGTAAAATGTGTAAGGAGACCGTAGTATCAAACTTAATTGATCGTGGTTTAAACCAAGCCCCGCGGCACCTACGAATAGGAAGCCATGAAATGTCAAAAGTAAACCGTCTGGATTTTAAAAATGGTCGACCGGCATGAGGAAGACCAACCCGCACAGACAAAGTTCCCATGTGCTGGCGAGCCTGCAAACCTGGAGGCATAGGTATCCCTAATCCTGTTCCAACGTCGATGATTGGGAGCTGAAATAATCGACCATGATACTGCCGAATCACACCCGTAGACACCCATAGATAATTACACCAATTATATATTCTCTTAGCAAATCTTTCATATATGGGTATTCTATGGCCTGGTTTGTAAAGGTAAGAATATGAGGCGCAACCACTGGGTCATAGATATGCCTAGTCGCGAGGACCTGCAACGTGGGTATCTGATCTGGCATCTTTTTAGATTGTTGAATTTTTTCATTGTGTAGTTGGAGCCCCCTTCTTGCTAATTGCTAGCTGTTGGGGGCTTATGTTTTTATTTTTCTAATTCTTTAATCCATCTCGGGTTTGTGTGTAGAGGGTGGGGAAGAGATATGCAACTGTAAGGCTGCAAGCAGCTAATGATCTCAACAATATGCATCAGCCAAACGCTTGCCCGTTCAGCAAAAACCCCTGCATAGGTTCGAACAAGTATCAATAAAGACTCTTGGTGTGGGAATCCGTTATATAGAGAGAAGTAGAGAGGCACTGCCATCGACAATTTGAATAACAGCGGGCTGGGGTGAAAAGACCGAGAAGTCTTTGGGTATAGCCAAGATCCATGACCTTATGTGGGATTTCAGTAAGAAAGATTTTGATCTGAGGTTTGAACTTTAAAGGGGGGTTTTCAAATCGAAAAAGAAAGAAAAAAGCAAATTTTGCAATTTCACACAAAGTCAGCACCTTTAAGAAAAGCATATTTTGTACTAATATTTTAACTAATAACCTCATTTAGAGGAAATATCTGAAACACTAGTAATAAAATCCAATAGCGTATATAAACTACTCGGCGAAATAATTAAAGATATATAGTATAAACTAAAAACATTTATAACTTCAACGTTTTTGAATAGAATAAGCTATAATTGATATATATGATTGATGAATATAATAATTACAGTATGTAGAAGTTTCTAAAAAATTAAAATTAAAAAGATTGAAATAAAAGCAATTGAATCTATTGAATTTATTTAAAAAGTACTTATTTTTAAATACTTTTTCAATCTTTAATAATTCAGTTGATTTAATACTTTTGATATCGAAATTTGAATATATTATTAAATAAAAACCTTGCTTTTTAATGTATATATCTTTATAAGATTTATTTATAATTGAAAAAGTTATTTATATTTGAAATAGAAAAAAGACTATTTTGAAAAGGGTAAATTCGCTTATTTTCAAGAATATTAAGAATATCAAACATAAAAATTAGGAAATTTAATTCATTTATTTATTTAACTTCGATCTTGATAATTTTTCTATTTTAAATAATTAAAAAGAAAACTCTTTGTCGGAACACGTGACTAACAACGTGACATTACATGTCACGCTTTACCTCATATATGCACGAAGTGCGTAAGTGGGGGTAGTACACGTATATAGATATAGTAATTCCCTCTTTATATAAAGAGGGGAGACAGAAAAAAAAAACCTTTTTACTTATACATATTGTGTATACACACCTTATCAAGTCTGCCCAACACTCTTTATATAGTAAAACATTATCTAATTTCAATTAGAATTTAAAATATAAAAATAAAAGATTCAAAATTGATAAAGATAAATAGAATCTAAAATGTATTATAAAATTATACTTATCTTTATTAACTTATTAACTTTAATATACTATATCTCTTTCATTTTTCATTCAAATTCTATAAAACTTTATTTTTATATAGAAAATATATATATAAGTTACTATATGAGATTATATTGAATTTAAATAAAATTTATAGAAGTTATATTCAATTTTAGTTTATATTATACATCTTGAATTATTTCGCCGAGTACGAGTATCAAGAAGCCATTCATGTGATGAAATTTTTACCGACGGAAGGCGCTAGTGGATACGCTTCAAACATCGGCGGCACCTTCCTTTGTATCTAATCAATGAATTCACCTCAAAAGTTCTTGGCTCTGATCTGAGGTCGAATTCATTCATTCAATTCAATTAATTCGAAAGTTGCTAATCTTCAATTCTCTTTAGAATTCACCAGTTCCATCGTCTGGCCATTTTACTATTCATCAGTCCTTTGCTTGAAGGCTATACCGTGTCTTCATATCATTCTCATTCTGATCAAGTTGCTGAATTCGTAATGGCATCTGGCTGATTCCCGATATGAATCCCATCGAGCTTTCTGATGGGACTTTGGTTTGCGGAGCTCATCGTCAAATGATTTGCTTCATCTGCTGCTGTGACTACAGTTTCATGCAAGATCTCCAGGAACAAGGAGAAAATAATGACTCTGCTTCACTCTCTAATGCTCATTCAGACGATGGAAACGCGGAGACATTTGAACACCCTCAATATCAAGTGTTTGATCCACAAGAGGCGTTCACGGTGGCCACTAGACCAGGAATGTTTGCCTTTGAATCCAACCTCGACTCCGATCCCAATGCCTACCATCACAAAATTCCGCCCTCCTCTTTCCAGTGATACTCCGAGCATGCTTTTCCGTCCAGCTCACCGCTTTATTCGTCGCACTGATCCCAATGAAATCCTCATTTACACTGATGGCTCCTGTCTCTCCAATGGTCTTGCAAGCCCTCGCGCCGGCTGCGGTTTCGTCATCTCACCTCACCACAAAATCAATTTCAGACTCGAAAATACTGGCCCAACCGGAGAAATGCACCGCCAAACGAGTAACTGTGCCGAATTGCGTGCCGTGCTAGCCGCTCTCGAATACCGTGCATGGCAAGGTGATAACTTTGCATCTTGGACGCGTATTGTCATCGCTACTGACTCTGAGTACGTTTCTCTCGGTGCTACCGAACGAATCAACGGTTGGGCTCAGCGGGGCTGGCGGACTAGTGCTGGAACGGAAGTCAAGAATCTGGATTTGTGGAAGAGACTAGTCTACCGTATTAAAGAATTGAGTAGGCCGATAAACTATTCAGAAAATGGGTGTGGAGCTGCGGTCGCATTTTGGAGAATTCCGAGGGAGTGGAATGGGGAAGCAGACGCCGAGGCAAAGAGAGGGGCTGATTTGGAGGAGAAGGAGGAATTTCGGGTGCTGAAAGGGATGCTGGTCTGATATTTGGGGTCGAGAATTAGACACTGCATTTTGGTGGTGTGATTACGACCATTAAATTGAGTATTTCAGTCAACATTCAAGTATGAAGATGTATTATAAGAAAGCTCGTCACATGCTGTTGTGATGCTTATTTATGCTGGCTGGTAGCTACCTCACAAGATGCTCTACAAATCGATTTAAGATTTGGAATGGGTAAGAGATTGACTGCTATATAGCCCGTGATATGATTCGAAAACTTCAAAAGTCCTCTAGTTCCTAAACCTCATAACTCACTTCTTCGTACGGGTGTGTCCTGTTCTCTAGAATTAGCCCCATCTTTCGCTCAAGTTCTCGCCATGCCCTTTTTCGCTTCTCCATCAATTCCACGTCCCCTTTTAATGACCAACTAAACATGAAACTCACCTCTTCAATGCCTCAACCGCTTTCCTTGTAACTTCCTCCCCGGTGCACAAGATATACACCAAGGCCTCCTCCGCTCGTTCCAAAACTCTTACTTTCCCTGTGTGAGGCACAGCTCCCTTCTCTGCTACTGGTAAAAACTATCCAAATCCCGGAATTTCAAAACAGACTTTGATGTATTTTCCATTGGCGTACACTCCACCGCCCACAGCGAATATGACATCTTTTTTTGCAGAGAGGTGAGATGGAGGACGCGATATACAAGCTTATAGTGTGTTTGGGAATTGGAGGAGGTGGATATCTTGAGGTTTGGTTTGGAGAGGTGAGATGGGATAGGATAGGAGAGGCGAAATGAGATAGGACTGGAGAATACAACAAAGAAATAGATTTACCTAGATACTTTTTGCAGCACACTTATCATTGTATTATCATCAATTCCACTATCACCGAACAATTAACATTTTAACGGCGATTCATGAATATTTCTTCAAATCTTTTACACATAATAAATCTATTCTGCGTAAAATACCACCGTGTCGGTATCGGTGCATCCAAGACAAATCAAAAGTTTCAATTCCCATATTTAATTCGCTCGTTTTATCCTCGCCGCTTAAAGCCTGCAATCCTTATCGTGCCTCTTACCACCCGTGGCCACCTCCTTATCTTTACCTCACACACCTTGCGTCATGCAATAAAACAATTAAACAGCGCTGGATCCTGGAATTCCAAGAATTTATATTATCAATAAATACTACCCGATACCTACACTCCTTACCATATTCTCCGTCCCAAAGTCTGGGCATGGTCTGATGAAGGGATAATGGGTCAAGCATCTTCTTCTCCTTCTACCTCTCCTATATCTTCCAGAACTACGACGCTTCCTAGAAATTATCGTGGAAATTCACGTGAGAATGAGAATGAGAATGAGAATGAGAGATTTGTCAGTACGGAGACGACACAGTTGTTGACACCGGATCCGGAGGAGGATATTGAGGGAGATGCGGATGTGAGGAGTGGAGATGGACATAGGAGTATGGTTATAGGGAGACACGATGGCCATGCGTGTTATCATCCCCATGCCATTGGAGATATATGTTATCCCCAAGATGAATTTGGGGATTTGCCGGTTTACAAGACGATTCATCGGTTTGTCCCCCAGTCCATCGAATTCCGAGCTGGAGAATGATACTGATAGAATATTAGAATAAGGAGAGATATTATCTCGGCGATCGGTGAGTTTTATCAAATGGTGAGATAGGGAAGTGAGAATTAGACTAACGGGAAAGGTAGATGATCCATATAGTTTGGAACAATTGAGGGATCCGAGATTGAACGTGTCAGTTGTGAGACCATTGGTAGACAAGCTGTATGATTTGGATGATTTGTCGGTTGGTATGTTGCTGTTTTCTTGTTCTTTTTCTTATCAGATCGCTTTGAAGTTTGGGGGAATGACGATTACTACTTTTCCCAAGTGATTAGGACAACCAGTGGAAGGACATCTGGAAAATATTGGATGAGGAGAAATATGGGCGATTTTCGGAGGAGTTCTCACAGTGGATATCCATGTCTACCATGAACACTCTATGAATTCTTTATTGTTTCTTCCAGATTAATTCCTGCCTTCAGATACTAATCAACTTCAAGTCTATTGTCTTCTCGTCAACAAAACACAGTTCCAACGTGAACAATTGGCTCTACCCCATCAACAGAGCATTTGCACCACACGTGCCCATCTATGCGAAATAGTTGCCAATCGAGTTCTGCGCCGTTTCCACGAGGATCATACCGGCTCGGAAGGGCTACTTCTTCTATCTCGCATTCTTGTAGGAGGTTTCGATCCATTTCAAGGTGCTCCAAACAATGTCATCCAAGAAAGCAGTAATTTTGGTTGGGCTGCCAAGTCTCGTACAGGTGCCAATCGAAGACTACCAGCCTTAGAAATTGCCATTATTTCTCAAAGCAAAGCTTTCCTTAGTTCGTCAGCTTGCCAAAAAGTAATCAGCGCAATATACGAGGGTAGAATCATATACACTCCAACGGCGTTCATGGATATTCTACCTGATCACTACAAGAATAAACCAATTTCGTTGTACAATCCAAGAGAGGCGCCATTGTTCAATCAATACAGACTTATAGTTCCTCGTACGAGGAATTATTTGGAAGTTTGCCACTTCCTTCTATTGCTGGTTTTCTATTTGTATGTCATGGCAGATCGTGATCCAGCTACATTTGGTGGGATGGAATTGTTGTTCATTGTTTATACATCGGGCTGGTCTTTGGATCAATTGTAAGTCTTTTAAAAATGTTTCAGTGGAATCTAGTAGTCTGTATTAACGCCAAATGCAGTTGCTCTATACTTGAACACGGATGGCACGTATACACCCAGAACCTGTGGTCCTTCCTCGATGTCACTTTCGCCGCAATTTTCGGAATTTATCTCGCACTCCGTTTCAAGGGCTGGCATACTGATAACGTTGGCACTGGTCAACAAGCACTGGATGTCCTCGCCTTAGGAGCTCCTGTTCTTGTTCCACGTCTAGCGTTCAATCTCATGTCCGAAAACATGCTTTTCATTTCTCTCCGGGCCATGATGCGCGATTTCACTGTACTGACAATCCTTGCTGTATGGTGTTTTGCTGGATTCCTGCTCTCTATGATTTGGCTCGGAAATGGTATTCATGAGCCAATAACAGTTTCGAAATGGATGCTCTGGATATGGTTTGGACTCGACGGTACAGGCATCACAACATCTGCTCAATTTCATTGGCTCCTCGGTCCGATACTCATGGTCACTTTCGCATTCCTAGGCAATACTCTTTTCCTTACCATCCTCGTCTCCATGCTTTCAACAACCTTCTCAACCATTGTTTCAAATGCTACCGCAGAAATCCAGTTCCGCCGCGCCGTTCTTACCCTCGAAGGTGTGAAATCAGACTCCCTATTCGCCTATTTCCCACCCTTCAATATCCTTGCCCTCTTTGTCCTCATGCCTCTAAAATTCGTCCTAACACCCCGCTGGTTCCACAAGATTAACGTAGCAGCCGTGCGTTTCCTCAATGCTCCTCTCTTACTCCTCATCGGCTATCTCGAACGTCGTCAATTGTGGGCCGGCCCCCGTCGTCAAAAAGAAGCAGAACAACTGCCCCGTCTCCCACATCGTCCTCGACTATGGGATTTTCCCAGAGGCTTTAGCGTTCACGGTGACCTACAAGCAGTATTTGATGCGGAGCCTCCGAGTGAGATCGCGGATGAAATTGGAATAGAATCTGACAACGATGTTCGACGCGATCGGAATGTTTTCGAAATTGACTTTGCGCGAGAATTCAATAGGTCGACCAAATCAAACTCGAAAGCTGGACAGAAACCAGTTAATCCGAGAGAACATATGAAAAGAAGAGACACGGCTAATAGTGCTAAGAGAATTAGAAGGGATTCGGTAGCGCCGTTTGCGGGAATGACCATACCGAAACATTTGAGGGATTTGTTGAATGAGGGGAGTAGTGATGAAGAAGGTGAGGATATCAAAGGAAGGTTGGAGAAACTTGAGCAATGCATGGGGAGGGTAGAAGGGTTATTAGGCAGATTGTGTAGAGAATTGGATGGGAAGAGTGTAGATGATGGAGGTGAAGAAGGAGATGTAGGAGGAGATGGGTCATTGAGTGATTTAGATACGAGTGTGGCGGTGGAATTTTCAGATGAGTAGATTCAGGGTCAGATTGGTATGATAGATTGGAGTAGCGAGGTATAAATAGGTGGTTGTATCAAATTGATTTATATGCGTAAAATAGAGGTTGGGATGGGAGCATTTGTGTTTTGTCTGTTGGTTAGCATAGCGGAGCGAGTTAAATTCAGAACCTGGTAAAGATGTTAGTCTAGCTTTGAGATTGAATAGATATATATATATACGCATCCACGCACACATATGTATATACTATTCATCACAATTTTCAAGTACATTCGATGGTCTCGATCAACAGGTAGGTAATCAGTGAAAAACAAAACAGGCAATCGGGTATTCCCAATATCCCATCTAAAGAAGCTTAAAGCCTGCTACATCCATCCAAATACCTCCAATCAAATATCCACCAGCATCTCTCAAAGAGTTCCTTGCACCTCTACTCTATCTAATACACAATAATACTCGCTTAACAAGTAAGTCTTACCTGACCAAGCTACAGTACATCAATACATACCTCTCGCTAGCCGATCCACTCACAGCCCAAACCCGAACTCAGATAGACCTTTGAGTAGGTAGCAACTATGTGGATTTTCAGATATACAATAAAGGGGTTGAAACCTAATGGCGTGGTTGATCATCATCGATGTGGTATGTACTGGCTAGACTTCTCAGAAGAGTTTGATAGTTTAGTAAATCGATCAAAGGTCTGTCCGTTGCATTATCATGTATCGAAATGAGTATTATAACTGACAAGGTTGTCGCTCGATACCTGTGTAGATGTGTGCGAGTAATTGCTAGCTTAGTATTACCCCAAATACCTAATCCACTAGAAACTAGGACTGCCATGCCATATTATACCGATCCATACTCTGCGAAAAGGTATACATACATACATACTCAGCTAACAGAAATCTATACAACGAAACTTCATCGGGTCGGGCCATCAAGTTCTCGCAAATACGCAGATGTACTGTACCAGACAGACTGACTGAGTGGGTGAGTGAACATACAGATTGAGTACAAGTAATATTTATTCATAAAAAGAAAAAGAGAGAGAGAGAGAGTATCAGCCCGGAATGGGAATGGGATATAAAAGTCAAATGAAGGCAGGAGGTAAATACTCATACAAAACACTCATCTATCAATTTGAATGTTCCCCATTCCAATAACTGAGACCATCAGACCGATCTAGTTATTCGGACTTCCACAACTAGATTCGAGGGATATACCATATATCATCACGTATATCACACAGGCCTGCCGTGTATTAACATAGATATTTTTATGATCCGTGTAAAATTGACTGTATATTTGATATCTTAGAGTCGATGATTTGGATTTGATTAGGTTAGACTTTCCAGACGTGCAACGAAATGAAGTAAAGCAACCTAACCTATATAACTGCCGAGTTGATATTTAAAGCCGGGGTTTCTGGTATTTCTGATCTTGTAGAATCGGAGAATGAGAGATCTCCTTGCTGTAACCCTATCATAAAACAGATACCAGGAATTAGAATTCTTCATCACGGAGTAACATGCTTCTTTCATGAACAAAACCACCTACGCTGCGCATATCAATACTAGGTAGGTACTGAATAGTTGTTTAACAGCTCACAGATTCGGAGAAACTTCACTGAATCTCATATAAATATATCTAGGTAGATAAGCCTTGAATAGATAGGTAGGTAGGTATACCTCATACGGTCACACCCCTCTTTCAGTCCATCATTTACAATACAAGTGCATAGAGATACACGCGGGATATGTATAGATCATTCAATCCTACCCCTCCTCTAACTCACGTTTTCAGCGGCGGAGAAGGGTGGGAAGGGAGCTCTATATAAGCCCTCCCTCCTGATCCCCCAAATTCACCCCATCATCAACTTACAAATGCGTCGAGTACAGGGTACTCTTCCAAAGTTTGATACAGTAATGAGTACATGCATACATGTATGTATACTCTCTTAGATTAACTCAATTCCGTGATTTGATCTCTTTCTCAAGTATACCTTATCTTTCCGTTTTTTTGACTCTCTGACTTTACTCGAGTATGGACTCATCTTAGATTAACTTTTCATCACAATGTCCATTCCATTCATTGTAAACGACAATGTAAATCGAACTTTGACAATAACATACTTTGACGACAACACGAAATAAGATAAAAATAAAACATCAGTACACCGGTATTGGATATAACATCAACCTCAACTTTAATCCCCAAAGATCAGCAAACCCCCTTTACAATCCCCTTCAATCCCATCCAGAATATGACTATTAATTTAGACACTCACTGATATATATCAATATATATCAATACGCACCAAACAAGCAAACTCAGACTGATTTCCTATACTTTGTTATAAAGTAATTGAACTCCATATCCATACTCCGCCATTACCAAAACATTACACACTGTATAACGTTTCCCTCCCCCCTCCCCCCCTCAAAGAAAGATACCCACATCCAGGCTATCATATACCTAATCGAAAGAGTGAAGCAAACCAAGTAAGTAAACAGATTAATAACTCCAGAACTAAAACGCCCACTCAAATGTTCTCTCACTCGAATGATGGATCTTCACTTCACCCAACTACTTCAGTACCTAACCCAAAAAGATGAGAGTGACTACACCTATACGCCACTAAAGACAGACTCCTATGACTGATTTTCACTCCCTCAACAAATCGAGAAAAAAAAATCCTCAAACTTTACCCCTTCTACAAAATACACCATTCTAGTACTCATCCCGAATACAATACGCGCTGAGATTAACCCGATATAAACACTACACATTTATAAACCCCCTCCCCCTCCACCCTCTTTTATAATCCAACGAAAAACAACTGAATTGACAACCCTCAACACCTCCTTCCCCATACATCATCTTTTATTTCCTTTCCTTTCCTTTCCTCTATCCCTATCCATCTACTACGTACTGCATGTTCCATACACCACCTTCTTGTACTACATCTATCCATGTCACAACCAGATCCCACAACCCCCTTCCACTCTAACCCCTCCTACGTGTTCATCTCCCCTTCATCCTTCCCTCCGCTGCTCAATTGCACGCACAAATTCAAAGCGGAATACAAGCACATGCACATGCACACATACATACATCCAGCATTCCCATCCCCCAACAAACAAGAGGCAAAAAAGGTAGAAAAGCCAAATTCAATAGTTTCAAAATCCAAAGTTTCAAAGAGATTCAACATTTCCCATTTCCCATTTACCATATAACTATGAAAAAAAAAAAAAAAAACGCCTTCCAAAATGCGCCCTCACTTCTATATAGTGTTTAACCATGCAATCTCTCTTTGGAGTTGCATTTGACAGTGTCTGTCTGCCCGCCTGTCCCCAAAACACAACACAGCTCAATTCAATATTCCCACACAACAACAAATTTAATCCTTCTTTCCCCCCTTAACACCTCTTCCCCTCACTGCACCCTCCAAATCTTCTCTCCCAGAAGTTCCGCTTCTATTTAATGAACTATTCCTCAATTTACCCGGCGAAAGTTCAAAGCCCCTGCCGTCATCACTTCCAGTTCCATCTAACAATTCTATAAGATCACCGGGTCCATCCGTCGATGTACCACCTCCATTTGGTGTCCCCGGATTTTTAACAGTCAATCTCCTAACCCAGCCTTCAATTGCCGCCGCTGCATTTTCTAGACCAATACCAGAGCCCACCAAATTACTAGGCGTAACCGATCCACTTGCAGGACTATATGTACCTTCAGCAATACTTGCAAGTTCATCCCTAAATCCAAAAGGTATTTCAGACTCAAGAATTGAGGAGGAAGGTAGAGAATCGATTGTAATTCCGGGTATGTGTTTCCTCGCCCATGTATTTAAAGGATCCTGTCCAGGTCCAGGAGTCGTGACACCCTTCCCCAACGTTCCTACGCCACCAGGTCCCCGAAGCCATCCTAGTCGATCCGCGGCTTCACCTACACTTTCTCGACGAGACCGGTTAGCTGAACCAATCGGGGGGAAATAGCTTCCACCAGTAGATTGAGAAGGTCGAGGTCCCAAATTACTCGGTCTTCGAGAAGTTGTGCTTGCAGGGCTACTAACTTGTTCGCCTGAAGATCCGCGTGGAAGATCATAAGAACCACGAGGGGTAGATGTGATAGAATTTGTAGCCTGACTCTTACTTCGCCGTGGGGGAAAATATCCCAGGGTTCTCCTAGGCATACGTGCAATTTCGACTGGTTTAGAATTCGGAGATGAATCAAGTAGAACCCATCGTACATGTTCCCATGGATTTTCTTCCGGTCGCTCTGTCGGTGTCTCTGATCGGGGTGGCCATACTTCTGGGGCATCCTCTAAACTCGGCGTTGGAGCAAGTAAATCAACCCCTTGGCTTAGAACCTGAGATGGGTCACAAGGGCGTCCCTTGATTGCACAGGCATCTACTGGTAGTACAACCACTTGTCGAGTTTGTATGGAATCGTTTGGCCAAAATCTATTGGCTTTTCGAAATACCATAGGTTGACAATTATACCGTAATATTACTCCCGCAAGCGTATCCTCTTTTTGCACATGGTGTATATAGACCAGCGCATCACCCTCGTCATCTTGTGTTCTAGTTGTAGTCTCATCCATGGACGTTCTCCGTTTGTAGTTTCCATTTGTATCAATTGCCCCATTTAGATCCGTGTGGTTTTCGAGAAGTCTGGTCATTCTTTGTGTCCGTAAAGCTGCATCTCTTTCCGATTGACTCCCCGACCCGATAACAGCTTCATTCTTCTTCTTTTGTTCTGCAGGTCCCCATGCACCATGAGGTAGCTCAAACAGCTTCTTCACGGAACTATCTCTCCTTCTAGCTTTGGGCCTATCCAGACTGACTGTCTTCCTAGCACTACCTTCACCCTCATCTGTTACGAGATCCCCCAAATCACCTAACACCGAACTCGCAAGTCCTTGTAATGTACTCCAAGAATTCGTCCACCCACTACCCCATGCTCCAGCATTCCCTGGTCCAACTTTCTGGTCTCCTTTCCCCACCGCAGACGTTCCTAAAGCACTTTCGGCAGATTGAGAACCATTATCGCCCACCCTCCTCGAAGGATGTCTTGAAGGGATTGGGCTTACTCCTCTGGCACTTCCACCAGGACTACTCCCCCTACTGCTTGTCGTGCTCACCAATTCTTGTTCCGTACTAATCAGTCTTCTATTTCTCGGTCGTATTGTAGAGGAGGTTGCTGCACTGGAATCGCTGAATCGTGTTTCATTGTCACTATACAATCGCGATTGCTTCGAGGTTATCGCGGCTGTTCGTGACGATTGTGACATGGTTGTTTCGCGGGCCGTCCGCACTGGACACTTGCGTTCATGAGAGCATTCGTCGTTTTTGATTAAATCTCTTTGCGATCATTTGATCACTCAATTATTACTAGGCCGCGAATTGTAGTGAAAATTACTCGTGTCAGTTGTGAAGTACACTTGGCTTCCTTGGGGATATGAGTCGCGGGGAACGGACGTTCCAGATTATAGTACTAAGTTTGGGCTACCGTGTTCGTCATCCGTCGTGGCAATTATAGTGAATTACCTAGGTATCGAAACGCAGGGCACGTGGGGAATCCGCATTTAAGACACAATACCCACCACCAAGAGTTTCCCGAGATTGGGTTGTAATTTCTTATTTTTTTTTGATTATTTGCTAGGAATGTTTCATTTTGTGTGTTACAGGTATCAAAATAATGTACTTCTGAGACATTTACTTTGATAAGTTTCATTCCCTGTCCATTAGGTGGGTTCCCAAAGGCTTTATAATACAACGGCATGAGCTACACCTACACGCTCCATGACTATTTGTTAAGTACTTGAGGAAATAGCTCATCAAGCCCTACGTCAAGCGATTCTTTGCTCATAAGTAGCAACCGACCGGTTTCCTTGTCCTTTTCCAGATCTGTCCCAAAAAAATCAAGCGAGTGGGACATCGCCATTCATACCAGTCAAATCCCCATTAATGCCGAAAAATTGAAACCTAAATATCACCATGTCAGTACACTAACCGAACTTGCACGGTTTAGCATAGTAAACTTACCAATCTTCCACATTTAAAGTTGTAGGAACAGCTTGTGCAGAACTATTACTCCAGGTATCACTGGGGCTTTGGCCTTGAGGTTCATGCATTGGTTGCTCAAAGCCTTGCTGCCACATACCTTGGCCCATGTTATAATTAGGAGGAACTCCAGTTGGAAGCATTCCACCACCTTGAATTGGACTACCACTCATTCCAGGTTGTCCTCGTTGCATGCGTTGAGGCAATTGATTTGATTGATTTGGATTTGGGATTGGGGGCTGAGGTGCACCTAAGTGAGGCATGAGATTTGGATCAAGGTTGGGATGGCTTGGTGGGGATAATTGAATATTGTTCAAACTAGGACCACCTTCAGGGAACAACTGATCTAGTTGAAAGTTCTCCCAGAGAGATTGTGATATGTTTGGGGAGTTTCTAGTAACAAGATAGAGATCCGGGGGCGTAGCTGGGACGGAGTATGAGGGGTTGAAAGGTGTAGGTGGACGTGTGTGAGGACGAGAATTAGAACCTCCCATGAACGTATCTCGATTCTGTCGCTGATTTGGAGATGTAATAGGTGGTGGTGCAGGCATCGATGATGAATTATAACCTTGACTTGGTGTTTGTGGTCTGGATCTCTCATACGATTCTTGTGGCGCAGGTCCACTGCCCACAGCGAAATCCAGTGACATATCATCATATTTTCTCTTCTGGGATTCGTTCTTAGCCTGATTAAGGCCCTCGCTGATGCTTTGTACCATACGTTTGTGTCGTTTTCCAGCAGCTTTCTGAAGACGTTCCTCGAGTACCTTATTACCCAAGATCGACTCAAATAGCGTATAGACCATCTTGGCCACGAGCCAAACTCTTGATACATCCTTCAAGCCATTCATACAAACTCGCATCCGCTCTTGGGTAGCTGCAACGATGGATGGTACTGAGGATCGCATCTGATGAACATGCATAATCAATGCAGAGAATAAACTATACACGATAAACGCTGGACAGTATCGTAGCTCATCATGCGCCGATAAGTTCTCGATGATGGACGTAATCATTCCTGCAGCTTGAAATGCGATAGTTCGAGATGGATATACATTTTCCTCATAATTACCTCTCTGTGTAGTAGCGGGTGGCATATGCGCTCTATGTAACAAGCAGAGTGTTGTGTAGTAATTGGAATGTAATAAGGCTGCCCAAAATTGATGTCGAGGCATTTCCCAATATACCTCCTTAGGACAATGAGATAGCCAATCTGCCAATGCCATATCGCTGTGCGTGAGGTCGATCGCATTTTGCCGTCGAGCCTTTGAAGCTACACTATATTGCTGCGAGAGAACCAATCCCATAATCTCGCAAAGCTTAACATATTGAAGGAAAAATTGGACGTGAACAGGATCTTGGATGTATTCGGCGGGATGATCGGTCTCATCTTCGACGAAATCATCCTCACTAACCATCTCCACATCGGAGTCATCGGTATTTATATGCACAGGGCGGCCAAGAGCAACGGCAACGGATCGATCACGGGTAAATAGCGTCCACCAGATTCGCTTCCAGAGCCTCTTGTCGGCTTTGCTAAGCGCAGAACCTTCAACACTCCTATGCATACCTGAACCTTGTGCTACAATTGTCGCAACCCTGCTCCAATAAAATACGTTCTTCGTTACATCTTCTGGTCCCTCCCAATACCATCCCATCAAGACCAAAGCTTGTACAATCGTAACTCTATCGTCTTCATAGTTTGCGTCGTAGAGTGCTTTCGCACGCTTGTAAAATGTCAAGGCAGCGGGAGTCGTCGATCCATTAGCATCCATTAATTGGGGATTTGTACAGACCCTGGATCCAGCCAGGAGGATAGCCTGCAGTAACAAAAGCGAAGGAGGATTTTTCGCATCGCGATAGTGCCTCATAAATCTATTCCGATTGATGACAGGCACAATCGGAGCCACCCATTTGAAATATGCATCCACCAGTTCATCACAAAGAGACCTAGGAGGGAGTAAAAATGCTCCCCGTTGATGTAGGATATCAATTTCCACGTTATCCAATTCCGTCAGCCTCGCCCTAGATCCTCTGATGTTCTCTGGTAAAGGATAATGTACAACATCTGCGTTGCCATGTCGGTCGTGTACGAGTAGCGTCAAATTCGACGATTCTCCTAGGTATGCTACTCTTCCAGCCTCCTTTATGGGCGCTCTGGTGAATTTAGGCTTCATGAATTGAGCGTAGGTATTTTCATCATTATCTCGCTGACGAACCTGCGCTTCCGTGAGAGAAGTCGCAGGTGTTCCATCTTGCGTGTTATAGCCGATCGAGGTCCTGGTAGTTTGGGTACTTGGGGAATCATGGTTCTGAGGGGATCGTTCGTCAATCGTTTCTCCTCGGTCGCTACCCTCGTCAGCTGCAAGCCCTTCAGAGACCCGAGGTAATTTATACCTATCAGAATCTTTGCTTTTATTATTCGTCTTCTTTCGTTTCGGCGTTGGGATCTTGCATTCTATGGAGAAGGCGACGCAATTTGTGCAAGGCACCCCTAGACTCGCAGCATCACATCGTACCTATCGACCCATTAATATATACTCGAAGCTGCACGACCATGCGACGGCGCCATGATTCTGCGTAACATTACCTTTCGAGCATGGCATGTCTACGAATTGTTGTTAGCAAATGTTTGTTGATCTTCCAAATTCCTCCACAATCACAATCACAATCACCATCACCATCTGGGTCCTCGGACCGAGGCATCAAATTGGATGGATAAGAAATGGAACGATGTTTACATACTTGGCAAGCTCGTGAAGCTCGTTGTCTTCATCCCCAAACTGTCAGCGCATTCGTGGTATCGGAGAATACATTCCATCATACCTTCTAAATGAAGCATGTCCCGGAAGCTGCGAGTTAGGTGCAGCATTTGAACCAGCAGGAGCTTGACTACTCATTTGGGGCGCTGGAGCAGAATATTGGATCGAGGAACCTGAACCCTCTGCGGACATTTCGTTTGAGGCCATAGTAGCCGGGACTTTCTAATCCTCTCTGATCATGCGAAGTAATAATTGCATATTAATTTCCCTAATGGTATTGTCGCCGGGTTGAATGGAATAACTGGGGGGGAAAGAGTGCGTGGTAGTGTAGTGTCGGGGGAAAGTTGGATGATTGTGAAATTGGGATTGAATTGAATTGAATTGAATTGAATTGATAAAATCTGGGCTTCTCGGTACGGAGGCTATTTTTACAATTTTTCGGGACTTGAGTGGTCGAGAGAGGGTCGAGAGAGGGTCGAGAGAGGGTCGAGAGAGCCAAGAGAGGGTACTGCAAAATGTAAAAGTGCCTACAAGAAGAAGGTCATGGTTGGTCATGTGGGGTTAAATTGCCCAGTGGAATCGATTTTAAGGTACGAACCATGATCTGCGCCAAAAGTTATGGATCTGCCTATCCTGTCCTATCCGTTTTCCGTTTTCCGTCTTCCGTTTGCGCTAAAGTATTACAACAATGAATTCTTGAATCAATTTCACATTACAACGTAGGTAGGTAGAAAGATAAGATACCTATACAATCCTTTCTTCACATCTGGTCTTTGTTAATGTCAGCGTGATAGTTATGTGATTCTGATATATATATATATAATCATCAAATATTCATAAGATGATCATCCTTTTATATGTTGCACATGTCATACATACATCCAAAGCACAGCCAGCCACCACACTCTTCTCAAGGCTGGTTGGATACAAGACTGAGACTGATTACCTAGTCTACTACCCGTACTAGGTCTTCCAAATAAGGTTCCTCGGGCTCGATGTGGAAAAAGGAAAACAAGCGACACTTTCTTTGCTCCACTCATTCTACGCACATCATCGTTGATAGTTGATAGTAGATAGTAGATAGTAGATAAAACGCTCGACCTCGAAGCCCTATGGAATATTCTATACCCGTACAAGATGATGAAATTATAAGTTTACTTATTATTAAGACTGTATCAGCCGCGTAAGGAAATCTCTCCCAATAACGTCTAGAAACTTCATTATATCAAAATCGAGTATCGAATACCAACTTCAATTAGCAACGCTTCCATCTTTTTGCTGCTATTATTACTAGATACTATTATATACTACTGAATATTCGATATCAATCTGAATCAATCCAATGTGATATTTTATGCAATCCAATTCGATTTTCAGTTCCAATTCCCAGGATCAACACTACCCCCAAGAATCCATCCAACATCAACATCCATCCTCCCCCACAAACCCCAAATCATTACCCCTCTGACCAATTAGTTTCGCTTCCCCTATTGGACTAGTAATATCTCTCCATCATACTTCCCGCTTCACACACCATCCCACCCACCACCCACTAAACCCCAAACCCGCCCGATACATCCATCAGCAACCCACCCACCCTAACCACCTCCCTAGTCCCCACGAATACTTCCCGGAACCCATCCTCCATCCACCACCTCACCCCATCACCCCATCACCCCGCAATTCGCAATTTACATGTGGCATGGCATATGCACCCCAGATAGTACCCGTGCTATTGTTTAACCCTAGTATTCACCAATACAATACGATATATATAGGTAAAGTTGACCTTGTTAGTCTCCGGCCAATGGCAGGATCACCAGCGAGAGAGGAGCCTCGGTACGCCCTTAAGGCTTGAATAACTTCATGTGATATTGGGTGTTTATTCACCATTATTTATCCACGTCACTTTCATCTACATGCTCTCATGATTCTCATCCAAATACGTTATGATTCTTATGATCATTATCATTATAATATACATACATACATACATACATTTTACCTCTTCATCCATATCTTTGCCCACTTCTAAGTACTTTTGTCTTTCTCATTTCCATTTCCATTTCCATTCCCATTCACGCCGATCCTACTCGTCTCATTTTCACTCCTCTTCTTCTCCTCCTTCGCATCCCTAACCACCCCCCCAAGCTCCCGCTCCTTCTCCATCTGACTAGAATGATCCTCCACCTCTACCCCCGCAATAAACAGCTCACTAACCCCCTCTAAACTAGCCACGAAAAGACAAAGCAAGCTTGCAATAATAAAATGGCTAATCGTCGAGCCGATCTCCAACCATGACCCTTCATCCTTCACCACCCAGAAGAAATGCAAGGTCAAGAAATCGCTAATAGCAATTACCACCATAAACAAGGCTGAGGGCGCGACGCCTAGTCTTTTGTTTAGGATACCCAGATTCGCAGAGATCAATGCAAATGGAATCATAAGCTTCACAATCAACAAAGCTCCTTGGGAGAAAGGATCAAAGACTGGGATTAGACGATTCACACTTTCCAGACTGAAAGATGAGACAGATGCCATATTTCCCGTGCTGAAAAATGCCGACTGTAGAAGTATGAGGAAGAACAGAGATATCCGTGCGTCAGTCAATGTGAGAGAGCGGAATGGAGAAGAGGATAATGAAGTAGGGACCTCGGGAATTGGAGCACCATTTGCCTTGACTTTTGTTGTTTTACTTGAAGTGTATTTGTAGATGCCGTGTTCCAATAGAACCCAGGTGATCAGAGTGGCTGAAAATGCCAAGTAGAACAATCCTTCGTAAGAGATGGTGAGAATTACGAAGAGTGGTGCAAATGTGAGAAATACAATCATCAATCGGTGTAGATAATGATTGTTGGGCTGTAGACGGTGCAGAAAGGGCATTATAATAGACGCCACTTTATTTATGTTAGCTTGCCTCACATCATCCAGGTGTTCGTCAACTTACCAATCAAGCACCAACCAACTATTTGGTTGCCTCGAGGAAGTCCCGTTCTTGCCTGTAAGGACATTGCAGTAGATCTCGTAACAAGCATCGATAGGACAATCAACCCAATCTATATGAGAGGTCAGAATTTATGATTTCTGGTGATGGATGGGGTTTCTCACCTGTGCTCCAATAAGTGTGCGGGATAGAAGATTATCGGCTGGCGCAATAGAATCTCCCGTCATCTTGGATTTTGCGAGTAGCTTCTTTTCAAAAGCAAGATACAAAACACCTACGACTACCATCAACGCACCACCATACAAACTATGCACAAGATTAGCTAGAAACCTGTTTACTTCAAAGAATGACAACCTACATAAGATCTATATCTTCAACTTTCATTGCAGGAAGTAATGTGAAAGTGCTCATTCCCAGACAGGAAACAGCCCATGTTAATGTTAATGCTTTGTTTTCTTTCAAAAATCCCAAGCCGTAGAATGCCGGCCAGAAGGTTGCGCTGACGAACAAGGCAGAGAAAATCTCTCTGTGGGTATAACCCCATGCCTGTAGATGTTATTGAATGATCAACTGTAGAATGTATATCTTAACTTACGAGCGATTCTATAACGCCTAGGAAAATAATAGTTTTGATGAATGTCCCAATATAAGCAATTGGTGACTTGACATGACCAAATAGTGCTCTTCCGCCCTCGACGAGAGCATTTCGGCGGGCATATACTTCTTCCCAGAATGCCACCGGGAAAATAGCATAGGCGTAATATGTTACAGGTGACTCAGAAACAATAAAAGAAGCGAAAAGTGCAACAAGAATTGAAGAGAAGAAAAGACTGGCCGCTAAAGTTCTAGAAGTCTCAGCTTTACCATGAAGAACATGAAGATCCATGACAGTGGTGAGGGCAAACGTGATCCACCCCAAATAACCCATCGTGATGAGGGCCCTCAGAAAGAGCCAATCGTATGTTTGAAGATATCGAAGACCAGCCAAACCAAGTCTAACGAGCTCTGCAGTCTCACGAATTGCTTCTTCATATTGTCCTCGATCAATCAGATTTCTAATATCAGCTAATCGATGCTCGGCAGTATGGTTTTGGTCTCCGAGACCCTCAAATGGTCGATACCTCAACTCAGTGGCTTTCTTGTGCTCTTCTTTGATTCGATACATGTCAAGAATACCTCTAGCATTAGCTAGGAAAGCTTCAGATTTTTCAGGAATATCCGCAGCAAGATATGATAGAGGCAATTCTCCAACAGAATTCACTGGGAAGTTAACACCAGCCAAATATGCCATGAGAGCTGCAACATCTGCTTGTGAAACATCATGTCGATGAATGTGGTCCATACCCCAATCTGAGGATAGCTCGTCATGCCCTGGTGCAATTCCATGGGCCTGCACAATCGGCTTCGCGACTCCAGATCCCCATGCAATCAGGGGAGTGCGTGTGTTGTCTGGGTGCCCATCGCCATGACTTCCATAATCACTCATTCCATGATCAGCCGTGAAGACGAAAGCGGTCTTATCATCTTTATAGAAATTTTCAATAACTTTCGTTACTTCTTTAATACCTTCATCCACAACTTTGATGTTATATAGATATTCTTTCGAGTATGGGCGGAAACCATGACCTGTAGTATCCAAGCCAAGGAGATGTAGAAAGAACACATTTTTGTCTTTTCTTAATGCGGCGTTTAAAGTAGCATTTGTAGCAGCTTCTGCAAAAAGAGCCTTGACTCTATCGAATACCCAGATATCCAAATGTATAGCTGCCTTTGAAAAGTCCTCCTCCTCGGCAGAATATGTATATGCATCCACACGACCTGGCACAGCGCCCAATTGAAACATTGGCAAGATATCTGGACTTCCCCATGACCAAGTATGTCTACTTCTATTGAAAACGCTGTCGAAGTTCACCGGGTTGAGTTTCCATCCAGTAGCAACTGCCGATACATCTTCGTACATGCCCGCGATGAGCGCAACATGTCCTGGGCGGGATTCCGTAGGAACTCGAGTATGAGAGACACCGAAGGTACCATGTCCAAGGACCCGCGAGCGAAGGAATGGCGCAAGAGGCCGTGGAACAAGATCTTCTTCTAATTTTGGGTATGGTTCTGGAAATGATTGGAAAGCTTTGTCTGCTCGGAGACCATCACCTGCAAATTCAACGTATCAGCCAATTGTATCCATACACAGTTACCAAAGAAGAAAACATGGTAACATACCTACAAAAAGCACCAAACGCTTTGCTGGAGCTTCCACTCCATCTGGCCTCTCGACCCCGAATTCGCGCATCCCAGATACGATGGGACTCACAAAATAAATATCAAAGATTGAATAAATGTACACCAGATGGAAAGCCATCGCAATGGCCAAAAAGCCGAAACGATTAACTCTCGCCATATTGCTGGTATATTCGTCTGCCCTGTAAATAGATTGTTCTACACGCGTTCGCGTTCAATCGAACAAACGGCTCTGACTTTTTAAGGAACAGATTGTCAAAACACCTTGATGGATTTAAGCCAAAACCATTTGCAGAAAAATAAAGGAATGGCCCGCCCTCAAAATGGACGAAATATATGTACTGTGAAATACAAATTGGATGAGAAGCTCTTCCCCTTAAAACTTGACAATGGAAAGATTTCAGGGACTTCAAAGATTGCTCGACAAATTATCCGATAGGACACGACATCATCGATAACTGATAACTGATGAGGGACGTTCGAGACTATCTATATATAGGTTTCTTCAACCATTCAAACGACATTGCAAATATTGCAATCCAGCTTTCATGTAAATAAAAATAAAATGTGTTACAGAGGATATAAAAAGGTATCAACTTACATGAAATGAACTGCTTGTGGCCAGTGAGTGGTGGGCAAATATATTCAGAGATTCACTGGGAGCGAGTTCATTGTTTTTACAACACTGTCTCTATATAATCGAATTAAGAGGCGAGAATAAAGTCCTCTTTTAAAGGATCTTGTTGAATTGTAAATTCATTTTAAATCAAATAATAAAATCTGAAAATCTGAAAAGAACAAACGAAAATTTGAGCTTTTTGGATATAAAAAATCAGAACCATATGTATCTATTACGACATTGAAAAGAGATTCGAATATCAAAGTTCTTCTGAATAGTTCTCAACTTTCGCCTCTTATTTCGGTTATGTAGAGGCTGTCTCTTCAATAGAATTGAACGGCAATGTGGAAATTAGGAGCACATTGGAAGCGATATATTCACCGTACTGAGAGTTCCAGCGTTCAAGTATTTACATAAGGATTCACACAAGTAAATGCATCCAAAAATATGTAAGAAGTTTCCCTTCCGGAGTCTATATTCAATTATTCCCTCCGTGCCTCACACCTGCATTCACACTTTACTCTCATCCTGCCTTCCACAATTCTCATCCTCCATTCCATTTCCAAACCAAAGGGTATATAAGCAACAGCACAGCAAAGTGGTAACACATCGTTTCACCTTCTCCTTTCCACCCCTAAAGCAAAGGCCAGAATAATCTTCGGCATTCCAATCTCCCCTTTGCAACCAACCTCACTTCCATCAACCAAATATATATCTCATCCCATTCTCCTTTCCCTTCCCACTCAACATCAGCCCTCCGATCGCCACTTTCCCTCCTCTTACTTTTCAGCCCCCTTCTCGCCATCAGACGAAGATACAATATAAAACATTACAAAGTAGCCAAGTTTTTTTATTACTGCCCGGCCACTGCAGTATCATGCCCCATCCTCCCTCCCGCTCCTTTTAATATACCTCCTCAGCCTACATCTCTCCCCTTTGAATAACATGACACCAGCGCATCGCAAAAATTTAGGTATGTACGTGCGTAATTACAGTTTGCAGCTGGAAAAGAAGAGAACGCCAACTTCTCTATGTACATCGCTTATGAGTATAGTTATTTGCGAATGAATTTTGTATATGAACATCATTCGCTATAAACGAAAGAATTGAATTCTAGAAAGGTGTGAAACTAGGGAAATCAGACGTGCGGTAACGCTCAAAGTTCTATACTTTGTTGAAAACGCCGAAAAGTCTAGTGTGTAAAAGAAACAAAAATGGGTTGACAGGTTGCGGAAGCCCATGATTTCAACCGATTATAAAAGTGATAGGAGTCTGATAAAGATGGTGGGCGTTGAATCGTGAATCGTTGATATAATGATGCTGTGTATAATCTCGCGAAACAGCATCGTCATTCAAGGTGTCTTACCTCGCTTGCGAGTATTCTCATTGCTTTCGGGATCGAACATGGTCGTTACGCCCGCGAGTGTCCAATTTGAGGTTGAAGAATGAATAGCGACGAGCCATGCAGCTACCAAGTTGACCAGATAGTGAAGCATGTAGGCATAAGTCACTCCATACACTGCAGCATAGATCGCGATGCCGAAGAGCAGAACACTGGTAACGTGGCGAACACGCGATGTGACACGAGGGACCATCTTTCCACTCGTTAAAGTTTCCACCAAAAGGATGAAGGGCATGATAGAGAGGACGTTGTGATGAGAAGAGAAGGGCGTTAACCAATGCACAGCCAAGTTATGAATCCACACAACGAGTATTGGGAGGTTGATTGGTAAGATCCATAGCATAAGGACGAGTATCGAGTGGACGTAATTGTAAAAGTTGTAATTCGTGTTAGACCTTGCTTCCCGGGCAAATCGTAGGGCTCTTGTACAAGTGGCTATTTGTACCAGGCATGCCACGAGATATGCAAACTGGTATGGAATGACTGTAGACACCAAGAATAGCAATACGCCTGTCGTAAATACTCGTCGACGGGGAGAAGACGGTGCGAATGCTGGAGATGATGCCCTTTTTCTATCTTCGTTTCGCAACCACGCCGGCTTAACACTTATCCAGCCATAGAGTACGCTCAAAATGTGAGTAATGGCTAATGTGGCATAATTGATCATGACACATACACCAATGCAAACCAGCCCAATCAGAGGAACCATAAACCAGAAGAAAGGATCCTGTGAGCCCACAAGTAGATCGTTTTTAGTATAGTCAATGACAGTTTCCGATGCATTCCTTCCCCATCCCAAAAAGCCCGTGGGAGCTCCCTGGGGTGGTGCCGTACTTGCCTGGGAGAATGACACTGATAGACATGTAAGAGCTAGCAACACTAAAGGTAAGGACTGTCGTAAACACAAGTCCAGACTTTCGCTGAAAGAAATGAAAATTCCTGTCTCGTCATACATTCGAAATTGCTTTCTCAACACAAGGGCAACAACCAGTAAGGGGAATGCAGCAAAAACCGTTCGATAGCGCATATACAACTTCCCTAAACTGCCTGGAATATCGACACTCAGAGAGATCTTGATACTCGAGTTGCACGTGGGATCAGTCCAGAATTGAAGACTCAACCCATCTTGAATGGCTTTGTATTTAAGTGCAGGTGGCATGAATGGAGAAACTCCGTGGATATTGATGGTTGCTTGCTTCACATTTACAAAATATTTGGATTCGTAGGGTTCCGAAATATATTGACGTAAAAGCGGGGTGAAAAGTTCCGACTCCTCCCCGCATACCTGATTGCCCATTTCCAAGTTGTAGGCCAATAAACTGGAGTGCACGGCGGGTATCTTAACCTCCGCAACCATTGGTCTGTTTGGTGGTAGCCTCATTTTCATACCGAAAGCCAAGAGACGACGAAGACTCAATGATCTGATTCGATGTGACTGAACATTATCACTAAACTCGGCAATCACCCACCCAGGAGTTGACTCGACTGCTTTATCGACAATAGCAACAAATTGGTGGTCAACGATATCCTCCAAATCGTATTGCAAATAAGAAAATGGTTTTATTTCTTCCTCCTCATCCAGATAGAAAGGCTTCTTTGATGTTCTGGTGGATGCTGGTAAAGGAATAACGTCACTTGCAGCATTTTTACAAGCTAATCTCGTAGATCCAGAGCTATCCCCAGACAGATCCATATTCATAGAGAATAGTGTCGCTGATTGGCCTGGATGCAGAGGGAAAACACTGCAGAAAAGAACCTCCAACTTCCCATTGTCCCCGGGTTTGTCAAGCTTCTGGTCGGTGAGAAGTGTGAATCGCTTTCCACCTGGTGTCCCCTGGGGAGGAATCGGGAGCAAATGTGCCTTTAGTTTTCTCGACTCCCCAAATTTTCGTAGGGTTAATCTTTCCCCTTGGGGGATTATTGCGTGCGAATCGTCTTCCAAAGTAAGCAATGTCGTGGGTTCCTTGTGGGAAAGAGTCTTTTCTGCGAGACTTTCCATTCCTGTCAAGTACCATTTCTTGAAGATTCTCATTCTATCTGCTCGAGGTTTCGTTTGTGCAGGCCGATTTACATCAACAACTTCGTATAAAGATCTAACGACAACTTTTCTAAACTGATCGCACCATAGAATAGCTTGATGGTCCATACCGGTCCATACGTTTGGCACAGATGAAGTGAAAACGGTGAATCCATGTGTATCTGGCACCAGAGATTCCAGACTGGCATAATCCGACGGAACCACGGTATCGAGTCCACCTCCAGCTATAGATAACAAAGTAACGTGCCATAGAGGATTGTTGTTTGCCCATTTCTGTGAATAGGCTTGACGCCAGTAGTCGTTGATCTGCTTGTAAGTTTTGACAATTTCCGCATCAAAGGAAACAGGAGGGCGAGCGTGTGGAGCTGACATTGTAATAATCGTATTAATCGAATTCGACTGATAGTTCGGCATGATTAACATTGTACGAGCTACAATTCCACCCATCGAATGCCCCAATATGATAACGGAAGTTGGATCAGGTAGCTCCGGGTCTCGTTGCGATCTTCGAGGATCATGATACAAAGATAATATATACGCAATCGCTTCATTCAAATATTCTGCCTGGTCCAGCATTGTCTGCCCATGGAAGGCTGTTATATCCTCGTTGAAGTCGACAGTAAAAAAGTCCAGGTTCCGTGCTCCGGCGCTGATCGCTGCAGAATCGTGCTGTAAAACATCGTGAAAGTATGTTGCTGCCTCTGCCGCAATTGGTCGAACTTGCTTATAACTTCCAGCATTTCCAGGTATGAACAGGACGGGAACACCTCTAACCTAGACATAATTCGTAAGTATAGCACTCTAGTTTGCACGCAATCCCGTACCTTGGTATCCTCATCCACCATTCCTTCCCTATATAGATAGACCGAATATTTGCTTGCGAAACGGGTATGTTCGGTGTCGAAATCCGATAACTTCGCAAAAGAAGGCCTCATATATGACATTCGACATCCTTTGTTATCCAATTGCCGCGTAGTAAATGAATGTATAATCGACGCCAAAGTAAGTAAGGCTATAACTGTTGTAGCGAAGGTCAATGGCGTGAAAGACCAAGGACTTCGTAACCTCGACCGTCGTGAAGTTTGTCTCGAGTCGGCCATC